AGACAATTATACATGTTTCTTCGGAGTTAATATAGTAGGGGCTGTCGGCGGCCACCTGGATGTTCTGTGGCCGGAACGAACAGACGGGCGGACGGACAGACTCGAGCGCCACCAATGATACGGTCAATATCCCTCCCCCCTTGTAATTCATAAAACGGAAAGTAACGAAAAGCTTACCTTGTAATTAACGGAGCGGTAGAAATTACTGTGTAGGAAAAGCAAAAGGTATGGTATAGTAGACTTAATGTAAAAGCAAAAGGGAATCGGTATGAATGCAAAATAAATTTACGGAAAAGCTCAAAATTTAATGTACTTACGACCACCAAAAATGCCAAAGATGCAAAACGCAAAAGATCCCCTCTAAGCAATGGCTTTATTTTATCAAATTTAAGTAGGAAGAAAGTGTAATTCCCGCTCCGTTCGCTTATGCCTTCGATACGTTCAAACAAATTAAAACTGTTTTTAATTAACTACGTCCTTTCCAGGCGGCTTAAAAATACAGGACCGGTGTCAAAATTCAAGTTAATTAAGAGCGATTCTTTTGAGATACGGCTCAGCTTAATCCGACGGTTTTCTGGAACTCATTGCGTTATCGTTATTATGTTTACTTAATTAAGCGCATCCCAACTCCAATATTCGTTAATCCAATTAACACCTTTTTAATTGGAATGTAAGTGCAATCGGCTGGTCAAGAATTCAAGATATAATGCTACATACTTGGATTTGAGTCGTCAGAACACCTTTTCTATCCTAGTTTTATTGAAAACATGGAATTTGAAATCGATTGTTAATTTCCTAATGAAGCTAAAATCTTAAAATATTAGATTGGCGTCATTTTTCCTATTACAAGGGCCGTCGGATACTACGAAACTACTTTACCTATCCCTACGGGAACAATTTTAAAACGGATGAATTAAATACGGAAAAGGAAAAAAAACCCGTCCTTTTCCCTGTTAGTTCCAATTCCTAAAACCTCAGAGTCCCTTAGAGTCCAGATGTACCCAACTAAATAGTCGCATTAATTACAAACCTCGGCATTCGACTAAGACCTTTTCAAATTAATTAATTAGCGACGGTTAGCATTACGATCGTAAATTAGGCGTGATTATTGTGCGAGGAAGAAGCTGGAATTGCGAAGATGACTTATTTATTGCTACCGTAAGATCTAGAAAATATCAATTTGAGTTGTTCTCCAAACAGCTTAATATTCTATTGAAGTGGCCAAGTTGTTACCCAAGTAAACGTGTCGATCTCAAATTATCTTTGCAGAAGTTTTATTGTCAGCAACTGATACTATAAAACACTAAATTTTACCCTTTTAAAGCAATTTGACAATTACGCGCTTATAGCTTAGAAAATAAAGGCAAGGAATTATAGCCAAGATAAACTTTAAATTGGGATCTTAAACTGTAAAGCTGATTTTTGTCTCGTTATTATAAGGGGCCTTGCACCTCGTTCCCTTTTTATTGGATTGAGAATGAGAACAGGTGTGTAGCACAAAAATCCTTACCGATTCTGAAACCCAAAATACTTTAGTCGTTTAATGCGTGAACAAGCTTCCCTCGTGATTATTACGTGTATTTTTAAAGGGCAGTTAACTGTATAAATTCTGAAGACCGCTTTATACTCGTACATTAAATACAAAACATGATTTAGTACTTTTCGGCTCGCAACGGCATAAGGAGTAATTTCGATGTATTTAAATATGTATACATAACGTTGTTATACGTCGGCGTCGTACCATCGTTCTGGTTAATTATTTTTATGTACACTTTCCAAGTGAATTTTATTATTGTTTACAAAAAAACCCGCAGAACGAGGACAGTTATTTGTCGCTTTACGTTCATGAATACATCTCTTAATTTTTTTGTCGCCACGGCGAATAGAAGGAACTAAATGATGTCAGGTAAATAAAGTAATGATTATCATCACACTTTGACCTGTTAAATAATATTTATAGGTTATTAGAGTGGTGAAGGTGACTGAAATATTACATATTACGTTTTGGGGTTTAGTACAAGACCACGCAGAGGGTTTTGATCAGAAGTGCCATCAAGGAAAAGGTGATCCTCTATCAATCGCCTACAACATCGGATTTCATTTTACCATTGTATTTATAAACGTTTATAAATACAATGATTTTACTTATCACACTTTCTATATACGACTCACATACTTAAAAAATTGGGGATTACAATATAAAAGGAAATACACACAAATTACACCTGTTTTTTTCTAAAATTGGGTATATCGCATAACCACTGATTGACTTCAAATTTATAATTAATGTTTTTAGATCACGTTAATTAGCTTATTTACGTCGGAAGCGGAAGTATTTTTTCTACACTCCTCATTGTGGAAGCCTTATAGTATTTTCTTTCATCCCCGAAATTGCTGACCTGTTGGTGATGTATAGTTTCATTAATCCCCGCTTCCTGCCAAATTGGAGGTAAGTTTGCATATTTCATTTTCTAGTTAAGAAGATAAAACCTACGACGCTAGTTCATAGTTGTCATAGTAACGTATGTCAGTTCGTCAGTCCTGTTCAGCATCATCTGAGCAAACTTTGTCCTCCCCCTCCTCTCTGTGGTATTTCTTCAAACATTTGTAGAAGATACTGTATAAGAACCTTTTTCGTGAGACACTTTCTTATCTGAAAGACTCACCCATAAGTCTTTTATTTGAGTGTACTGAATTGACAAAGTTGTGGTTACTGATGGGAAGTATGGATTTTTATCTATAGTTATTATTGCGAAATCGAATGACTTTTTGTACGATAATTCTGCTGGGGGTTTTGTCATGGGTTCTTCCTCAGATGTATGTAGCTTTCTATAATGCTAAGTTTAAATGTACGGAGTTAATGTTGAACCACTACTTTTCCCCTTTTTGCGCAGTAACTCCACCCCTTCTGATCTATTCCTAAACTTTACCTATCCTTAAAATCCCATTTTTTCAGTGAAAAATCTCTGGAAATGCCTTACAGATCGCATCTATCTTCCTCGAGTTGTAGACATAAATAGTTCGTTTGGAAGATTTAAAAGGTCCCCAATCTTAGTATAGAATTTTTTTTACAAAATCAGAAAGAATATACCCAATATCCCATCCAAAGACGTACCATTCTTCTTGATGTGTCCTCGGTTTTTAATTTGGTTTCTTTCCTTTTTGTTATTGTAATGAGCCCCGACGTAAGTGCCACACAGCAGTAATGATAAATTTATATTAATTAATTAATTAATTATATGATAAAAATTAAATGCATTGGTTTGATTTTCTTTTATGAAAAAGTAGCTAAATAATTTCTAAATGAGGCTCGCGAAAACCGCATCTCGATATCTTGGTCCTAACCTAAAATTTAGGCCAAAGAAAATGTACTCTTAAATTTTTATTTTTTTAAACTAATTTTCTCTTTGAGAAACAAAAAAGGTTCAGGTTACTACTTTTCCCTTTAGCTTATCTTTGCTAGTTAACAATAACCCCGAAATTCATCCCTAGCCACCTCTATTTGCCTGAGCTGACCGTGTGCTTATTTTAAGGTAATTTTATTCCTTTTGCCCAAAGTAACCACTCACCGATAAACCATTTTTTTAAAAAGAAACTAACGAAACAAATCTAGAACAATGAGGCAAGCAAAGGATAATTTTGTAAAAATCTACAAACAGTTTTATGTGCAGGGCGTACAATTGGTTTATGCAACGTAGGTATCTCAATGGTAATTTCTTTATTTTTAAATATTTTCGCCCCTAATTGTTTTACACCAAAGTTGCAAATAATGTTTTTATAGGTTGTAAAATTCTGTGTATATTCGTCTGCCCATTTGTATTTTTTGTTGTGGCAAATTAAGGAAATTATAAATTAGCATTTTATAGTAAATATCACTCGTGCCGTGAAATTATTGAAACAAAAATTCGTCCATGCAGTGTACTATAAAATTACAAGGAAAATGCTAAATTCTAAATTACTTAATTATTACTTAATTTCTCCGGTTTTCCGAATTGAAAAGTTACAAATGAGCAGACGCAGAATTTTTCAAGTTACAAGAAACCCATCTACAACTTTTCTCTAAATTCATTAAGGGAGAAAATATTTCAATAAAGAAATCCCTGTGGTGCGTAAACCGTTTCTATACATTCTGTATAACGACAAGCGCGTAAAATATAACATAAGTTGGATTTAATGTCTACTTCAGAATTATAAATAATAGAACATATTTTAGCTGAAACGGTTCCTTTGAATAGACCTACGTACATTTTCAGAGATCTACCCACATTGGTTTCCACATAATAAGCAACTCGGCACGGTCTGGGATACCCTGCATAGATTCACATTGTTGGTTTCCAGACAAAAACAACGGGAAAATGCGCTGCAAAGGAAACCTCTATTTTGTGCTAAAGGGAAACAAATATGACCCGGATACGCCACCGGCATTAGCATTACTAATAATTAAACGTCGTGTGATATGCCCCCCTCAATCAAGGGTTTCCCCGAATAGTACACCTGTGATCTGATTCATAAATTAAACTCATTCTCGATGCGCAGTCTTAGAGAAGATTTCTAAATAGAACTGATGGTGCATAAAGAAAATTACCCCTTTACATTGCGTCACAAGAAAATGTTTCGGATGATCTACTGCAAAGTGGCTGTAGGTAGTTCACGTACCTATCCATGTTTCTCCAACTAGGTTGGTAAAAACCACCCTCTTTAATTTTTTATACCCTTGTTAGATTTTCTATTTAACAAAAAAATATCCTTGTTTCGATGAATTTTGCAAGATTAATACGAGTACAGGCACTTATAATAACCCTTTTCAGTTAAATTAGCTTGACTGACGGTACGATATACAGCGCTAAGCATTTTCAGTCTGAAGCTTTCAAAAGAAACCTATTGCAATTCTAGAGAAAATTCAGAACAGAATGACGTTGGTGCGCAACTTTGCTACCAGAGAGCGCAATAATAGAGAATAAAAGCTTGTGCTTCAAACAAACCCAGTTAGTGCAGGTTTTCCTGCCTAACTTTTATTTTGACGTATCACTTGCAGATTGGCTGGGGCAAGCGATAGTACAAAACTTATAATTAAAATCAGATACATCCGCGTATATGCCATGTAGACTCGACGATCTGGAAAACGGATTCTCGGTTTCATTGGAGATTGAGAAATACGCTTCATTTTGAACAAAGCTTGAGGGTGAGTAATTCATCCGACTAAAGTGGTAAATCGCATAACGCATCGATTATAAGCACGTCTCATTTACAGGATCGTGCAATTATGTCATGCAGTTCACGCCGGCGTGCACGTTTATATGCAGTTTGGATTTGGATCGCAAGCACAAATACACCCACTTTAGGTTGACGCCTGTTACTACAATTGAACTGCTCTCAAACCGACTTTGAAAAAAATCTCTTGACAGCTTCAAAATTTGCATATCAATGAAATTCTGCGTACTCTTAATTTTAATTAAATCACCGAAATAGCGTAAATATGTAAATAGGCCACGAGAAAATTATATCAGACCGGTTTAAAATAAATTAAAAAAGGTTACAGTTTCCCTAAATTCGTTTAAATTCGAAATCGCATTTGATTTTCAGAGCTTCAGCTGTAGGCGTTTCGTTACCCTTTTATTCGTCGCTGAAAACATTTTGGCGTAATTTATGGAGTCTTATTTAGTTTAAAAGCACATTCGCGCTTTCAATTAATTCTAATTATATTATAGATGGGGTATTCTTCAACGAAGTAACGTGTTTCGACCCTTTCTTATGAATAACTAATTAATTCTAATTACTATTTACAGCACAGTAGTTCCCAACTTTTTTGGTTGCAAATTAGTGCTCTCCTGCATGCCCCATTTCACAAATGATTGTGATCAGAGACTTGCTATAACGTTATCAGTTACAATACCAGGTACTATTTGGAGGAAAATACCTCGCACATCAAACTTATCTGCTTTTAAATTATTATATCATAATCGATACTAAGACCTAATTATTGATAATGCAGTAAAGCGTCTGGTTCCTTTTCTCTTTTATTAGGGATGGATTCGAAGCGAACTTTTTCCATGGTTCGAAACTGTTCAGCTCGACTCGGTTTGGAAAGTAATAATGCAGTCCGGTTTGGAACTCTCTCCGATTTCTCAAACTTTGAAGTTTTTGGTACTCTGTGGCTATACAAATTATTACTTTACGTAATGAGTTTGATTTGTTCGACACCAAGGAATTTTTATTCGTTTCACCTTTTTATGTTTGCTGTTAATAAAGGAGTTTTTAATCGAAACTTTCAAAATTGTTACACTCAATCTTCAAATTCAAATAATTAATAAATTTGTATTCACATCACAAAAATTACCTTTTTCCATTATATGAAAGAAACAACTTGGAGTTTTGCTTTTAAATATAACGTGAGAGAAATTCTGAATGTGAAATGTCTGTTTTGTCGCTGTAAAGCGTCCTTTATTAAATTCTTTTGTTAAATATGATTGCAAATGGCATTTTACCAACGCCGCGCGGAAGGTGTTCATTATGCAGTAGGTAACTCGAATATTGACATTGTAGTACAGTATTAAAAAAATGTACTGAAGTGATTGAAAATCGATATGCAAATCTTATAATAACTATTCTAATTTCGCTAATCTTTTACAAAGCAAACCACTTACTCCCCTTATTCTACTAAGAAAATCAATCAAATAATGAATTTTGTCGAGCTTAATTGACACTGACATAAAGGGGTCCGTATTAAATTTTAACACACCAGCACCACATCACCGTTTAGCCTTAGCACATTACAGAAAATCATCCAACTCAAAATTCTGGGTTCTATTTTACAAGCATTAGTCGAAACTACAATCGGTTACCTTCCGCAACACACATCTGGTTTGTTAATTCATTCGTTACTAATTACAAGTGGCATTGTTTCAGTTGAAGGTGATTATCATTAAGGTAACTGGAACATATGCGAGTGCTTGCGCTAGTGGCATTGATTTAACATCCATCTCACGCTCTTTACATTACGAACAGATTTTCTGTTTATTTAATTTTTATTGGTAGTACATGCAATTTGTAAATTTAAGGAATCGTGAAAGCAATTTAATTAACAAAGTTATGAATCGATATGGACTTTCTCAGAGTCTGTAGTACATAATTCCATATTGCCCGCCCACCTTGAATAAGCAATACTAGCGCATGAAATTCTATAAACGGGCAACCTTATTGCTAACGTAAGATGATATCCAAATATTAACAGATTTGTACCGTTGCTCCTACATTCAGTTGGCGTAAACCCTCGTTATAGTATTACCGTATTAGTATGTTTATATATTGGCTTGAGTGAGACCCTCCGACCCCAAGAAGAAAATTGATGTGGTTTTGTTTTTTCCAAGTGCGGTTTTATGGGAACATAAACGTTTTCCAGCGACTCATTCTTGCACGTGTTTTGAACTTGTTTTGCCCTGATATGCCTTTGGAAAACAAACCGAAAAAATTTTAAGAAAACTGATTTGAATTTGTAAAAATGCACATAAATTGGAAAAGTATGTGTTGTCAAGTAATAACTGTGAAACGTTAGACAAGTTGTGACAACCGTCAAACACAGAGAGCAAAATAAAACAAAAATTAGATATCAATCCAAAGTGCCACGAAAAAATACTGTAGGCACTGCTCTGTAGTGCAACGGTCTTCTTGCAATAAATGGCTGTGACTTCCCTTCGTTTAACAAAGTTTTGAAATTCTGGACTGAAACTGTATCAGCATAAAATTAATTATTGTTTCAACCGGATAGCTTAATTTGCACTAAATTTTTACCTTTTGTGGTGGTTTTGCAACTGTAGAGTTCTCCCTACGCTTCTTTGAAGCTTACCACACAATTTTCCACCTCACCAGAAAAAAGAACACGACTAAATGACCATATTAATCTATATTGAAAGCAATTTCATTTCCAAATAGTTACACATGCACCTTCCTTTAGTACAATGAATTTTTACAATACGTAGACTTTTTGTGAGAACCTTTTAACGTATCTAATCTCAATTGAAATGACAATTTCCTTATGAATTAGAGATAATTTTCAATAGTATCAGCGCGTCTAACAAATAAAACAAATTTTAAAGAGAGAAAAGTCAACATGAGGTTAAATTAATTGGTGCAGCACTTAGCCACATCAAAGGCCCATTGTGCCTACCCCCTTTCTTTTGCAACAAGGTTTAGAGCCGTTCCTCTCAATGAAGAATAGGACCCTGTTTAGCCTAAGTGGCTTCACCCTCCCCGATTCCAGATAGCTGTTTCCATAAAATAAAAAATAAAAATAAAATTGCTGGGGTACGCTCGGGCCCGACGAAGACTCTACCACTTCCTTCACAAGCCAAATGGTCCGCTCTTTCGTTGCCCCCTATTCCGCAATGCGCTGGATCCAAAGGAAGCTTAACCTCTTAGACTCACCTCAGCGATTTAGGGAGCTATGGTATTTTTCCAAGTCCACGTTCTTTATTATCAATTTTGGAGGGTAATTTGGCATTTGTTCGTTATCCTTTGTGAAAGCACCAGAACAATGGAGACAACACTCCGCCCTGATGGAAATATACTCTAGTAACCGATGAGCTCATCTCGTCGTCCCGATAGAGGATCTAATGAGCCTGCTTCCGAGCATGGCGCGGATCCATCTTACGATTGACCCACCAATGTCAAAGCCTTCGGCAGTCTCGCTGATTGAATCTAACGTGGTGTTGTTAAACGCACAACTGACCTTACCACATGTAACAAGGATCCAATCCTGCCGCTTTCTTAGATCCGCGTTAAGGGTTGATTACTTATGACATTTCAATTCCGACTAATTTCGAATCGTATTAGCTCACAAATAAACGCCAAAATTTCGTAATACGTAATCTCAAATCGTCTTTAAAGCTTTACAGTGTCGCTATTTTATATTGGATTCGCTTATTAGTAGCTTTTTCGTAACCTCCAAAATGCGAAGGAAAGCTAAGTGAAGCAACGTGATCGCGTTGTCGAATCGCTATCTGAAATTTACTGTCGGAAAGCTTAGCTAAGGGTGTGAAAATCGTAACGCTGGAAGTGTTAGATCGATTACAATTGATGGGAGTACGTATATCATTCATTTCATTTCTCTTTTTCACTTTTTCGAAGCGAACTGATGCGTGCGTAAAGTAGGAGGGTGGGAAAGTAAGTGCTTCCACGTTGCTTGCGAAAGGAAATCGAGAAGGTGAATGGATGATTTCTAAAAGAGATCACCCAAATTCCTTTTTATTGTAAATTCAGCAACTACAAAGAACGTAACGGGTAGTTTCCTTTTATAGAAATCAACGTGTGATAGGTAAAACATGTCCTATTACAGCAAAGTGCGTGCCTGGTTGCGCTGTAGTCCAAGTTGGGATTTACTGTAGTCTTGGAGTCAGTGCAGTGGAGGTTAGGGCCTTAGTTGCCCCATTCACAGTGGCGCGTTACGGTCTCGCTCGCCTCGTGGCGGCGCGCCATGCCATTTGGAGACTCCGCCGGACGGGATCTCAACCCTGTGAAAATCCCACCGATACGGATTCGTATGTAAACCGCACTTCTGCACGCTTTTCTACATACGTTCTACTACTATCTGCTCGATCTGCTGGTTCTCTAGATTCTTCCTTCAACTTACTTCATAATCGCACACGTTCTTTCTTAGATGCACTCCTAGGGAGTTAACCTTTACAAATACAGTTAAGGTTAAGTTTATTTTCCATTAGAGCACGTTTATTTATCGACATGGGCTAAGCTTTATGCAAAACGTTACGCATTTATTGATCTTCTCGGCTTTTATAAATATATAGTTTTACGTGAAGAATGAACAATTGTAATATTGAAAGTCAAAAGCTTTAGTTTGATCGACCGTTTAAGTTTGGTTTGTGAACAGTCAATTACCAATTATTTTATAACCGAATCTATCAAGTCTGCTAACGTAATTTCATTATTTAAACGTAAACCCTTTATATTGTACCGTAAACGGATTAGAGATCCCTTCAGGTTAATTTAATTGTTTATTAGTCATGGAAGTTTCACTTAATTAATTGGCGGTGTATATATACACAGAACGTACTAACATACGGAAATGTTTCGAACTGTTAATCCATGTAGGTACATGTACAATTCGCAGCCATCTTTATTATTTCCATAATAAAATCCGATTGGCTATGGGCTGCTAAGAATATAAGAAGATAGTATTGTCAGAAATAAGCTTTTTTTAATTTATTGCTCAAGTTGCTCGAAATTTATCGCATTAAATTTCTGTACCAAACGGAACTCAGATGCGTATTGAGGGCTTTTTGCTAACTCATCTCCGTTTTCAATTTGCATTTTTTAAACAAACCACTGCCTGCGGAATAGTAATCATATCACAGTATAGTTCAAAATGAGTCTTGGGTGTCTGACATTGTACAATTGGTCTCCTAGATTCATTTTAAATAATTAAAATCGAAAAACTGCGGATATCTAGCGTTCTCCGTCTTTCTTTACGCAATGCGATTATGGCAGATGTAGAGCACCAAAATTTCCACATTAAGTAAGTCTAGAAGGGTA